TCAAGCTGACATTCAAGTTGCGGTCCCACTTCTGTGAAAGCCCATTCATAAAACCGTTGGAATCACTGTGCAAAAAAAAAAAAAAAAAAAAGTTTTTATACAATGCACCCTGATGCAGTCTCTCGCAGTAAACATGTCCTTTTGTCTGTCACCACTGGATTACATCTCTGGAGCGGCAGGGGCCATCCCCGACGTGTGTTTTGGAGTCTGTATCAGTTTGTGTTGTTCCTCTGCGTGCTGTGAAGGTGTGGCTGCAGCTTTGGCGTGCACTGGATGTGACAGCCGCACATCCAGGGCGTCATTGTGTTGCACTAATGAGTGCAGGCGATAGTGCAGGACAAGGTCTTTCAGTGAACAGTGGACGTCATAGGGCTCGGCAAAGCCGTATCCGTGCGGTGTGCTGTAGATCATGCAATGCTTGACTTCTTCGTTTACGCTTTAACAGAGAGAAGGACATCTGTAAGTGTCATGTGATCAAATCAAGAGCAACAAGCATCTCAAACAGATTCCATTTTTTTTTTAGGCCAAAATGTTGGACTTACACAACGGAGCAGGCGTAACATCCCTGTTTGCTGCTCTCGCGGATCAGAAATGTTCCAGGGACTTTGCCTTGAAGCATCTCCTCTGCCTGCGTCCGACTCAGTTCACCAACAAACCAGCTCGTCTCATCCTGATGTGGCAAATTCTTCTCATCTCCCTTTAGCACATACGTACTGAAAGAAAGAGGGTGGTTGTCATGTCTCTTTCAATTCTGTCTTCCAATAACAAGTTATATTTATTAATTAAAATTAATGTTTTTAAATTAAAATAAATAAAAAGAATGTGTTTAAACTTACTCATCAAGGCTGTCATTATGTACCCCCAGCCAATCATTTATGCGTTTCTGCCGTACACCTTTGTGATTAAGCCAGCTGCAAGGAGAAGAAAAATTAAACATTATGATCCCTAATGATTGTTACCACAAATGCCACAAAACAATATTATAATAATAATAATAATAATAATAATAATAATAATAATATTCTGATGCCACTTACTTGAGGTACTGGTCTCTCATGATGCGTAGCTGGATGAGGTCTGGCCGCAGGTTGTTAATCTTCCTGTCCGTCTCTCTGTAATCCTCCACCTGCGTCCTCAAGTCTTCCTCTAAATGAATTTTGCTGTCATAGATCTCTGCGAGACGGCACTTCAGCTTCTCGTAGTGTATCAGAAAGCTGATGAGGGAAAGGACAGGTCACAGGTATGAGCAGAGTTTAGGGGTTTATGTGCAAAATGCACCCACATTTTAAGAGCCCCCCCGGCCACTGTGCAATAAAGTACCTCTCCAAATCTTTGTCAATTCCCTCCAAATGGCTGCTTCTCTCAAACTCCTCTCCGTAGCGCTCCTGCTCACGACACTGCTCCTCAAAGATCATCATAGTCTCATTAAAAGCCTCTATTGCCGTGCGCTTCATCTGGATCTCCTGTGTCATACAGAGTATATCCATTCAGAAAAGACTCAGGCATTTGTTAAAAGTAAATCAGACCCTTTAGAAAATAATTTTATTATTATTATTTTTTTTTAAAGGCTGCATTTTTAACCTGTGAGGTCTTTGTGAAGGCTTCGTAGAGACGATCAAACTCCTTTGATTTCTCTTGGTACTGACTGTGGACCTCCTTAAGCTTTCTTCCAGTCACATCCACATTGTCCTCTTTCACCTAAACGCAAAAATTGTATTTGCTTAGACAACGCGTATCCTTGTGTTTATAAAGAAAAATAAATAAATTTGTATTTACTCACGAACCTGCTGGAAACGGGACACAGGATGGGTAAGCATCAGATCCAGTGAGGCATTATATTCCACCAACGGATGGTGCTGATAGTACCAAATGAGCTCCACCACCGACGCGAATGTGAGAGGGTCTGAGAAGCCATACTTCCCGTCACGGTGGTAAATCTTGATCAGCTTGTTGTGCCCGTCTTTTCTAAAAATTTGAGTAGAGAAAAAAAATTAGATCAGTGCAAAATATAATTTAAACCTCACCATTAATATTTTCTTTTAGCGCTGTGCTTGGAATAACTGTGCTCCTTTTCTCTTCATCTTACCTTAATGTCAGCGTAAAGTCTCCCTGCAGCTTTGTGGATGCATCGCGCACCAGAAAGGAGCCATCAGGTGTGTCTCGGAGCTTCTCGTTTACCTCCTCCCTATGGGAAGAGTCAGTTGATGCTTAACGGAATTCAACGTGCCAATATGTTTAACAATCAAAACATCACATGAGATCTTTGTAGAAAGGATGGGATATTTGCTGAAGGACTGCGGATGTTCTCATCCTTTACCTTGTTATGTCACCCCAGTACCATTCAGCGTCCTGTAGCGAATGCGCAGGAGGCGAAAGGCAGTTGTTGTTCATGGTGGAAGATGGTGGCTTTGTTGACCTGGGAGGGAGAGCTGCATGCGAAAGACAAAACGAAGATGGAATGAAATGCAAAGTTTCCCCATCTTTTCTTAGAGATTTTAAACAATAATCTGCCACAAGATCTACTTAAGCAGTTACTGTAAACACGACCCCTTCAATATTATGACCCCCCCCCTCCCCATCCATCCAGCCAGCAAATGAGGCACACAGTTTGTAACACCCTTGCTTGATGAAGCCTGTCAAGATCTGAGAACATGCCCGGGCAAGTTTCCAAGTTGCCAAATCATTACCAAGATCTTCAGTGATGTCATTACTAAAAATAGAAATGTAGCTTATGAGTTAATAACTTTTAAATTTGTTTTTTAAATTAATTATTCCAAATACTTTAATTATAAAAACCATTATACACTAACCAGTATCCAACTCTTGTGAAATAAATGAAAGTCCATTCTCTAAAGTTTGCCTCTGGCACTGTCCTGAATTGCATGACTGGCATTTAATAGGCTATAAATTATATTTTGAGTCTCTTGGACCACCCTTTTCATTTTATAACCATTGCGAGCTTAGAGATCATAAGTTTTCCATCAACCCTGAGAGGAAGAAGAGGGAGGGGGGATCCGTGACTCTGGCTTGAAGACTAAGCGTTTTCCTTAAAAATGAAAAACGAGGGGAAACCGCATCAAGAGGAGTGAAGGGCGATATATTTCACTGCAGGACAAAAGTGCCTTTCACGAGGCAGTTAGGGAGAATACAAGAGCACCCTCACACAGGGGAAAGTGTGGCTTTCTCCCACCATCCGCTCACCTCCCCCCCCCCCCTCCTCCTCCTGACCTCAAAAATAAACAAAAGACAGGTGCAGCAGTTCAGTGAAACGCTGCGGCTCCTGAACTCTGCAAAAAAATTTAAGTCTGCACACCTTTCCCCCCTCCTCCTCTTCCTCCCACGGAGTCCTGCCAAAAAACCCTCGACCGGCTTCCAAACGCCACATGCTTGCACTAGTACATGCACTAGCAATGCATGCAAGAAATTTTTTATATAAATATATATATAAAAAAGATGCCAAATTAAAAGTCTGAAATGCACAACACACATACTGGCTGACCCACTGTCTTCATTTTTGTTGTGCTTCCTACACCCTGTATTGTCGTCACAGTTTTTCAGAAGCTCTCATAAACCTCTCCTGCAAGCTACTTAATTAACTGTAGCCCACTTAGTATAGCTATCCGTAAATTAAATAACTGTATTAAAGCTCAGGACTCTGACGCAGTTTTTTTTTTTTACTAATCAATTAGCCAAATTCAATTAACTCAAATCGGCTACAAGACATTAGCTAAACGTTTTCGGCGCAGTAATAACGCAAAAGCAAACAGGCTACAAAATAAGCTGCAGGCGAGTTTATCGGAGCTAAGTCATGAGACGAGCTGCCTGTAGCCTACTTTCTGAGCTAGCGAGCAAATTAACCACGGCTGGCTGCAGTGGAGAACAAAGCGGTCGTTCATTAACGCACCCGCGACTATATTCTCTATAAAATGCACTCTTTCCTCTGCCGCACACGTTTGGGTACGTGTCGTTTAGGTTTAGTGGGACGACTCAAAGCCGCCGTGCATCCCTGTCAAAGTTTGCCATATGTGCCGAGACAAAAGAAAAGAGGCAAGCCACTGCGCCTGGTTCTCCGAAAGGTATTACGTAATTGCCAAGTGAATTGCGCTATGCATGCCTGGGCAATGCCACTGGGAGAGCGCAGCACTGAGGACCTGACCATTGCAACGCTTTACCGACACCTGCACAGCATTTTCTCAGATGTCAGCTTTACTAACAGATATTAACCGATAAGAAAAAAAGAAGAAGAAAGCGGGGCATTGATAAAACGCTCCCCGACCCCCCGCAGATCAGATAATGGCTGGTTTTAACCCTAACTTACCTGGTGCTTGGTCCATTTCGATGTAGAATAAACCTTCGGGAGGATAAATCATTCCTGTTTCACTAGAGTAGTCCAGGTTGCCGCTGTTGTCTTCGCAAGTCTGGGCAAAAATTAATAAATTAAAAAAAAATGCACGTTTCTTTTAACCTAATTTAAGCTAGGCTACTTAAGAGTATTCGCAGACGCCACGTCCTACATTCACGTGAATAAAAAGATAACTCCTTGGATTCCGCGTCCATAAGCATCCCACAGTCAAAAATTTAGTGTTCTGAAATCGCCTTTCTAAACAGAGACCATTTTCAGACATAATAGATTATCAGTCCGTGCCTTCTCACTGTGTGGCGGCGCTCTAGTTCATCTGGGAAGTGGAGCGACTTTAAAGGGCTGTTCGTAACATCATCTTGGTACAGTCCAAGCTGCTACCACAGTAGGGGTGTTCGTTTTCTTGTTGGGATCCCGTGTCGTGTACAAAAAGGAGCTATTGAAATGTATCCTACGTAATTATTTAAAAGTAAGCGTTTTAAATAAAAAAAATTAACATATATGCACTTAAATAAGTAAATTGTGTAAGCAGATATATGGCGTTTTCCACATAACATCTACGAACCCCTAAAAGTGTAATAGTACATCCCAGACCGTTTCATTCAGCTCCCCTCAAGCTTTGCCCTAACAGCTGAAAAATCCTTTGCTGTACATGAATGGATTTTTATTAAAAGTTAAAATTACGAAATGAACTTATTTAACGTGTATCTTTTAAGCAATCAAGAATTAGAGCAATTTCAGCCATTATGGTTGCTCCAGTTTATTGATAAGTGAACACGTTCTAAGAAAGCAATGTCCTGTTACAGGTTTTAGCATAATTAAACTTGGTTGGCTAAAACACCTTTTGTAGTTTCCTAGTTGGCAAGTAAGTATTATATTCTTGTTGAGCTTGCCAGACACGTTCAGCAGCAGTAAATGGCATCTTGGCTGACACCGCTCATAATTACTGCTGCTGTGAGATCATCCAGTTAAAGATAGCAGGTGTGTAACCACCTGTACACTTTAGGTCTGAAAGAAGTGGTTATTTTACAGTGACACATTTTGCTATTTCTTGCCTCATATGCTAAAAATGTCCAGAGTATTAACAGTACTCTCCTCTTATGTGTTCGGAGTGGATGAATACACACATTGTAGTTTGCTCATGACACAGAATGACATTGTGCTGTAAATTTAAACAGCCATGGCCTCTTCCACCAGTTGAATTTAGTGGCTACAGAGAGAGAGAGAGAGAGAGTGAAACAAGGCCCGCTTGGTCAGAGGTCTGCCTCTGTTGGTGTCCAGGCGTTTATAGCCGCTCCCCTTTTGACCCAAGTTTAGAAAGTCAGGGGAGGTAATTGCCTCCAGCATTCCTTTTTCCCATCAGTAAGTTGATTCTTTCCTGTATCCAGTCTGTACCCAAGAAACATTGAACTAGCTGCCATGATCAACCTTGTTAAGACAACAAAAAGCACAATTATAGGTGGATGTGGGTCATTTAAGCAAACACAAATTGAGATTATTAACTTGTATAATAAAATTCACATTAGTTTGTAATTTACTTGTTGCACTAAATCTGAGTTTAACTTTTTGATTGATGGCTGTGGGATGTTGGCATGTTTCTCAGGCCTTACAGCCACCGTACAGCAGCTATGTAACTGGGTGCTCACACGTGTCTGAGTGTTTGTGTGCTCCCGGTGCCCCCATACTTGAAGAAGCCTTGAAGTTTGTCATGGCGTACCACTCGGCTGCTTCCCCTTCCCCCCCACTCCCACTGCCACAGTGTCAGAAGAGCACAGAATTTGCCCCCTTTAACTTCAGGGTCTGACCTCTGTGCCACATTTCACAGCCACCACCCTCCTGAAACAGAAGACAGCTGGGGCTCCAGATATTTTAGCAGGGGGACAGTGGGTCTCTGGGCTCTGTGTTGCAGATGTGTTGCTTCTTGATCAGCATTAGAAAAAGTTGAACTAATTAGGTTATGCTGTGTGTTCCCTGTGCGTCAGTCGCATTCGTTGTGTGTACGTGTAATGATCAGGGAGAGGGAGGGCTGTCCTGTGGGATAAACCTTTAGGCTCTGCACCCCAGATCCAGGCAGTCCTGATGGGATCAGTGAAGACTAATCGGAAGATTAACAGGATAGGCTGATACTGCAAGCCTGCCAGCTGCCTGCTAGCTGATGTGACTCATCTTGATATCCACCACTGCAGTATGCCACCAGATTGTGGTAGTGCTGGGAAACACTGTGCGCGAGCTTTAAATTAATAGGCAGATGTTTCTCTGTGCAGAAAACAGCTCAAGTTTTATTTTGTTAGGTTTAAATTTTGACACCAATCTGACAAACAAGAGAAAGTCCATTTTAAGCAGTAAGGAAAGTAGGTGTCAGCTAAATTATAGTTTTTAATTTCTGACAGGAAAAGAAATGTAAATAAACTAGAGACAATTTTATGAATCGATCACACCAGCTGCAATGCCTCCAGATCCATATGCAGTCATCCCTACATTTATTGCATGAGTACTTAGCACTAATGAGTTGGGCCACCAATAAATTAAAACGTGGCCCGGTACAAGCCCTGTGTGATGTCCAGTTGTGCCCATGTGCGCAGGTTATTGACTAATTCAAAGCAATCCAGTGAAGTGTGATGTGTGCTCCCTAAACCAGAGAATTTCTAGTGATCTCTTGTGTCCTCTACACGTGCAAAAAAGTGAGTGCAGGAAATGTCCCATGTGATTATCTTACATTTTTCACAGTTTATATGTAAAAGTGATCACAGACTCACAAGGTGAAAACAACATATATTTTATTGCAGCTGTTAACTGGAACCCAGGAGATTGGGAATTATGATTGGTTTGGTCTCATAGAGATTGTTAGATCAGTGTGATTATGGTGCGCTATATGTTAACTCTAGGGAAATTATGAAATGAGTGTTAATCCTCATATTTAAGAGTGTTAAGTGTTTACATGATAGTCCTCCTGCTGGTATTCACTCAGCCACAATAAGTCAAACAAGCAATACTGGACTTAGTGGAATAATCTCATGTTTTTTTTAGAATAATGATTGTTTAGACTTTGTTAAGGAACGTTATTAATCAGATGTTTTTTTATATTCCTCTATAGTGCAGTGTGGGCTGACACAGTATGGAGAAATCATTTCTTAGTTCAGTTCACCAGTGTCAGTATCTGTGTCATGGTCTTGCACTGTAGCCCTGAGCAAACTGCACTTCTCTTAAACCTTCTGTACTGTAGTGTGCTACTATTCACGGCCATTGAAGGGATGCATAATGGCCTTGGCAGGGCGTACGACATTCACCATGGAGAGACTGTGGGATTTCCCTGATCCGCAGCCAGAACCAGCACACAAAGCACGCAGCAGTCCTGCCAGAGGCAACTCAACTCTGGGCAGAGTGTAGGGCGGCTATGGTCTGGACCCCAGGACCCTGCCATTGAGGAAATGTAAGTGGGGACAGTGTCTGAACGGCTTGAGTTGGAACAGAAAAACCTTGGATGACCAAAACTATGAGCTTCAAATAGCTGGGCCCTGGGAAACATAGCTTGTTCTTTTAGGGAGGTCATAGAGAAGCCAAAAAGAGGAAAAAAGAGGAAAAAAATAAAACCAGTGTTTGATGGATGGAATGTTAAATTGGAGGCTACTGTTACTATAGACATCAGGAAAACGGACATATCATTTTTCCAAATGCTCCAGTGTTGCCCCTCTCTTTCTCCGTCCTCTGAATTATCTCCTAGAGGTCATGCCTACCTCTCATCATCTGTCACTCCATACCGTCAGAGCCTAATCTTATTAACCGAGGTGACAACTGAGGTCCTTGTGGCATGTCACCTCATAATATCTGCTAGTTCGGTGTCTTACTTATGCAGAAGATGACTATTCAGTGGTATCAGCAGCTTCTGTTTCTCTGAGCTGAGGCTTTCCCTGGCTCTGTGGTGAGCCAAATCAAGGCTGGAGATGAAACCCTAATGCCAAATGAATCCATGAGATGCTGTTATTTCCTGTCCTTTTATCATATAAGTATAGGTATGGATCCATGTAGGCAATTGGGCTGCAAGTAACAAAATTTTGTTGCTGAATAAGGTGATCATCATTTTTTTTCCAAGTGTTTTAAAAATCAGAAATACAGAAAAACAACCTTTAATGTACTTTTTGTCATTACTGTGAAGCTGAAAAATAATTGTAAAACAATGTTTAAAGTTAGACTTTCTGTGACTTATTCAGTTACCTATAATATTCTGTGAACAGTTTCCAATGTGAACAACACAATTCTTACGTATGTAACTTACTCCTCAGTGCCTCTATTCCACATCCAGTAATATTGTTTTTCAGATATGTTGGAAGTCAGATTTCAGAACTCCCGAGTGATATCACTCTTGAGTTAGTGTATTCCAGTAGTAAAGTGGGAAAAGCAAGAAAAAACAGGCCTTGTTTTGGTTCTGAGTTAGAGCCATTCATGTATCACTATCAAAAACACAGCTACACCACATTTATGGATAGAGCTTGGTCAGTTTAACTTTAAGTTTTACAGTTTTACTACTGTTTATATTCACTGCCACCATTTTGGATTGTTAACTCTTGATAACAAGAGGTGGGGTTGCTCCCACTTTTTGAGTAGGAAATCCAAGTTGAGGAGGCACTCTAGATTAACATTACAATTGAAAACTAGGAAATTTGGACTTCCAAGTTAATCTGTAATGGAATAATCGACAGTAAGCAACATTAGCTAAAGTTAGCTTAGCAATAGAGTCCAATAATCACTAATAATGACATACATTTAGCGCCCAGTGAAACACAAAGTCCATATAAAGACAAAGCAACAGAAAAAGATGTTGGTTCAAATAGCAGTTTGCTTGAGGCAGCGTTGGCAGGGAATCAAGACATGGTTAGCCAGCAAGCTGCTATGTTAGTTAGCACTTTTCCCCGGAAATAGGACTAACATTACCTAGATTAAACCATGTGCAGTATAAAATGTGAATGTAGCTTCTGGGTCTGAAAAGCAAAGCTAACATGAAGCTGCTTAAAC